CAAGGTCGACGGGGCCAGACTGCCGCCCGCGATGAACCTGCGGCCCTGCTGCCCACTGGGTCTGCTGGCGGCCTCAGGGGCCCGGGCGCGCCACCCGCTGCCGCGCTTCTGGCGGCCCCCGGACGGCCCCCGGACTGGAGAGCCGCCGCGTGGTCTCCGGTCTGGACTGGCAGCTCGCAGTAAACATGGAGGTCCAACTCCGCAAAGGCGCCCGCGATGGCGCCGCGGCCCGAGGCGGCCGGCGGGCCCCCCGACGGCCCGGGCACCGAGCGAAAGACAAACCCTCGCAGGATGCGAAAGTGACGGTCGAAGCTGGCGCGCCTCTTCCTTCTCTGGCCAAGCTGACGCCCCCCGATCGGCGCCGCCTTCCTGCGCGCCGCTTCGAAGCCAATCCACTTGCGGCACTCCGCAATGGCGGCGGCGGCGGTGGACAAACCTCCCTTTAGCACACCTCCCCGTAGTGAAAACGGCCTGGGACCGAAACCGACGGACATGGACCCGCAAAAATGACGGCCGCGACGCCCTCTCGCGAACCGAAAACGGCCAATTCCTTCAGGTCTGTCTACTCCCGACTTGTTCCACTCGAGCACCAAGAGGGCAGTCTTGACCTGAGTGCCCTAGCCCCTGGCGCACCGGTCGCGCGTGCGTCTGCCGAGCTGGTGGACCCTGTCCAAATGCCCTCGAGGCCCTCGACCCTGGCGAACCAGAACATGGAGAGGCCCCCCACGTCGCCGGGCGAGCCCAAGCACCCACGTCCACAATTCCGCTTCGAATCGGGCGGGGCCACTTGATACGGCGGCGGCACGGCCAGCGGGCAGCGGCTAGAGCGGGCCGCTTTAGCAGGGCCAGCGGGGGCCCATTAAGCACGGAAACCGCTCCAACTCTTCTGTCCAGCACCTCCGAGACAATCCCGGCGTCACATCCCCTCTCGCCGCAGGTGGCGCCCCGCGGGTCGCGGGCGGGCGGCCGCCCCAGACGCCTGCTTGGCCCAACTGGCCGAGTCTTCGGGCTCGATGCACCAGTCGGCCAGGATGGCCCAGAACGGGGCCGGGCTGCGAACCCAGCTCCGCACGGCCTCGAGCATCTCGACGCCGTCGCCCGCGACCCCAACGCTGTCCATCACGTGGACCGAACTGACGCACATGAGAATGCCGAGCCCGGCGTTGACCTGGGCGGCCTGGCCCCGACGGGGCGGCAGCCCGCAGCACGACGGCCGCCTGCGCGCATGCGCGGCTGGCACAGCAACCAGGACTGCCCCCCCCCCGAGCCACCTCGAAGCCCCAGCCCAGTCGCGCCAAGGCCGGGGGCCAGCTAGGGGCCAGCGCGGGCAGCCCAGCGCGCCGCCGCGGGCACCCGCGCGCGGTGCTCCAGGCAGTGCTCCTGCAAGCAGTAAACATCGCAGGCCCACTTCCGGTCTCTGCTTCGCCCGAGGAACGCCCGTCCGCCGGCCCGAGCGCTGGCGCGGGCGGCGACCGACGCAAGCTTCACGGGCGAAGCCTGTCGCGCCGCCGCACCCCATGGAAATGCTCGCCAGCCCCGGCTGCTGCCCCGGCCCCTTCCGGAAGGAGCGCTGGCCGCGCGCGGGCCATTCGGCCCGTTCGCCCCCAGACTGGGGAAGTCCTCTGACACCGACGGCAACCCGCCAGCGAGGGCTAGTGGGGACCGCGCCGCGCCCTCCACGGAGACGGCGCGGCCCCGGCTAAACCCCCGCTTCTTGCTGACCAAGGCCCGGCGGGCCAGGATGCGAGAGGCAGCCCGCATGAGTTTGGCGCCGTCGTCTGCGCTGCCGAGGTCGCAGGCGGGCCGGGTGCCTGACTTCCCCTTGAAGAAATCGGCGACCTTGTCGGCGAGGTCCTGGCCCGACGCCAATGCCACCTGGCCCTGCGCCTGCGCCAGCGGGGCCGCCGGCGCTGCCTTGAGAGCGCCAGCGGGCGCACCGTCAGGGCCAGCCTTGGCCGTGGCAGCTGTAGCGCCGCGCTCGGCCGCCCGAGCCTTCTCGCTGGCCCGAGAAAGCTGAACGCGGACGGTGCCGATGCCGTCCTTGACGTCTTGCATGGCGTCCAACTTGTAGACGCAGTCGATCGCATCGAGGCCGGCGGCCGACAGCGAACTTGACCTCTCGACCGCCTCCAGCTCCGCGTACTTGGCCTCGTGCTCACGCAGCTGGCGTGCGCGGCCTGGGCGTCTGCGAGCTGCTGCGCTCGCTGCGCCAAGCGCGCCCTGGCCTTCTCGATCAGTTTGCCCTTTGTCGAATTTCCTCTGCCTGGGCCAGGAGCCGCGCGGCGAAGTCGACCACGGCTGGTGGCGGAGGTGAAGCAACCTCCTTCTGGGCGTCCGTAGGGCCAGCCTTGCCTTTTGCGACCATCGCTGTGTCGACCGCCTCCAGCAACGCGTACTTGGCCTTGTGCTCACGCAGCTGGCGCAGCGCCGCGTCGTGCGCGGCCGGGGGGTATGCGAGCTGCTGGGCTCGCTGCGCCAAGCGCGCCCTGGCCTTCTCGATCAGTTTGCCCTTTGTCGAGATTCCTCTGCATCACCTGGGCCAGGAGCCGCGCGGCGAAGTCGACCACGGCTGGTGGCGGAGGTGAAGCAACCTCCTTCTGGGCGTCCGTGGGGCCAGCCTTGCCTTTTGCGACCATCGCTTTGTCGGCCGCCTCCAAGGGTCTGCCACGCTGAGGCCCTTAAGCGCTTGGGCACGACAGTGGCGACCGCGTCCTCGACCTGGTTTGCCCAATCTTTGGCGGATAGACACTGGTGATTCCGCTTGGCCTTGGTGTTGCTCTTGTCCGTCTGGGCACGGCCTGATCCTCCAGACCTCCACAGCTCGGCCCCCAAGCTGAGAATCACGCGAGACGTGTGGGCCGCCAGCTCGCTTGGCGGAACTTTGGCCCCGCAGGACCTGCACCCAGCCCGCGGAAGGAAGTTGGGGAAATGGCCACGCCTGCCCGTGCACAACCATCCCTTGGAGCCGGTTTCCCAAGCGCAGTGTTCCATGCCATGGGCTGTCGGATTCGTCGTGACATGGGTGGACCGCAAGCATGGTCCGCTCTGAAGCGCGCGCGTGCAAGTTCAGATCGTCGCCTGAGCCAAAACGGCTAAGAGGTGAGATGAAGAGGACTAAGTGAGGGGGTATGGCGGCCCTAAAATAGATTCTCTTTGACTGATCGAGCAATATTGTATATGTGGGGGCGATATTCGGGACTTCACCGGGGGGGGCGTCAATCCTGAATCGGCGTGCGTTCGAGTAGCGCCCTGGGGGTGTATCCCCAATTCCCCCTGTTTGCCTGAACGGCCATTTTGGGGGAATAGCAATTAAGGGATTCGGGGCGAGCGATGCCCTTCGAAGGAAGATGGTGAGGGAGGAGGGAGACGATAGTTCCAAGGCCTGCGCGACCTCCCACCAGCAATGTGGCGCCGCGCGGAAACGGGCTGGGCGAGGTGGGTGGCCCTCCAGAAGGGGGGCAGGGCCGGGCCTCCCAGAAGAGGCAGGCCGCCACATGGAAGGGACAGGCCCCTGTCGGAGCCCTCGAGCGGGTCGTCTCGGGTCGGACGAAGGAGCTCTGGTCGCGTCCAGCTGACTTCGCACCCACCCGTTCCCAATCCCCCCTTGTCGTCCGACCCTTGTGATCTTTCAGCTCGAGCTTTCGGTGAGGCGCAGCTGCTAGAAAGCAGCCCGAGACTTGAGAACTGCCAGGAATCGGAGCCACAAAAAAACACTAGGGCTCCCAACTTCGCGCTTCGCGCTGCGCGAAGCGCGAAGCGCGAATAACTTCGCGCTCTCGCGCCGCCCCCCCAAAGGGAGAAAAGGAGGACGAGGAGGAGGGGGGAGAAAGAACGAGGACCGCGAAGCGCGAAGCGCGAATAACTTCGCGCCCTCGTGGGAGCCCTTGCTGCTAGAAAGCAGCCCGAGACTTGAGAACTGCCAGGAATCGGAGCCACAAAAAACCAGAACCTCAGACCTCAAACCTCGGCGGCAGGACGTGGGCCGGGAGGGTGCCTCCTCGGGAGGCAGCACCCCTCGCCGCCGCTCCCGGCGAAGACCCGCCCACGTCATGCCCCGCAGCCGTCCCGGGGTCCCTCCTAGCCAGTTCGAGGTGCGTCCAGTGGCGAGGAGGGGGGGGGGGGGGGCGAAGCCCAAGAATCGAGAATTGAAGGGGAACTGGAACACACAAATAAATACACACAAATAGAGATATCCCCCATATTTTCCCATATTTTCTGGGTTTTTGTCTTCCCCACCACTTCCCATATTTTTGCATATTTTCCTGGGAGTCGACGATTAATTGTGTCTGTGTGTTTCTTTCCCTCCTGAAGAATGCCACTTCCCTCGCCCCGCCCCTTCTGCGCCGACCAGCCACGACCAGGGGAGCTGGGCTCCTCACCCCCCTGGGGGGACCCATCGTATCGACGAGCTCTCGAGGGGGGAGCCGAAGCCGACAGGGGGGGGGGGCTGCTGCGCGCCGCCGACTCCCACTGGCAGCCTGAAGTCGGGGAGGCGTGGGACTCGAGTTGGCTTGGAGGGGCTGTCAACAAAATCAGGGAGCCAAGTCTGAAGTCTGACGCGAACTCCCGCTGCAAACACATCCCGACCACCGGGCCGCCAGAATCCACGCCCGGGGCCGCCAAAGAGTGGCGGCAAACCAGAGCTCCGGCAAACTCGAGCCTTGCGCCTCCCCGATCCAGGTCTGAGGAGGGGAACATTCGCGGTTACGGGGGACAGGCTCAGGGGGGAAGCATCGACAAGCCGTCGGCGATACATCGCCGACAGATCGGCGATGGGCCCCACATGGCGACTCCGCACGTGCCTTGGTGAAGTGAGCTATCGGGCCCCCTGTCGGCGAGGGGTGAGCGACTGGGGGTCGATGCGCTCCCCCCTCAGCCGGTCCTCCCCTGACGGTGCCCGTGATCTGCGCGCCTTCCCCCGCCGCGCCCGTCCTCGCGCGGCGGGCGTCCTTCGTCATCTCTCTCTCGCGCGCGCGCGCCGACGGTCAGACACTCAGGGCTCAGCTCCTGCCGATGAGGCGCCACAGGGGGCCGCGGCTCGAGAGCCACTGGACGTCCACGCCGTTCGGCCTCAGGCGGCCCATCGCCTTTCGGGGCAGACCAGAGTGGACAAAACGGCGCAGCAGCAAGAGGGGGGGGTCGCAAATCTCGGCGGCGCGCCCAGGGGGAAGGCAGAGGCGGCGGATCTTCTCGGATTCTCGGAAGGCTCAGCAGGCATCTGGCCTTCTGAGAAGCGGTCTCAGGGAGGCAGCCGCGCATCGAGGAGGGTGCCCTGCGGCGGGGCCGAAACCAGCTGCGCGCAGCAGACTCCGCAACACGTCGAAGTCCTACCCTTTCGTCCGCCCCGAACCTTCCACTTCGCGTAGTCTTCCTTGGTGAACTTGGTGAAACCGTAGAAGCTGGAGACGTGGATCTTCTGGCGACCAGCGAACTTGAACTTCGAGAGGCGGAGCGCCTCCACCGCGATGGGCAGCTTCTCCTCCTTGGTGCGGACGGACAGGAGCACCTGGCCGATCCTTACGCGAGCCGCTGTGCCGTAGGGCTTGCCGAAGGCCCCGCGCATGCCGGTCGACAGGCGGTCGGCACCCGCGCACGACAGCGTCTTGTTGATGCGCAGCACGTGGAACGGGTGGGGCCGCACCTTGATGTGGTAGAAGTCCTTGCCCGCGTTCGTGGACATGTACTTGTTGGTGGCGATGCGGGCCGCCTCGAGGGACTCCGAGGTGAGCTGCTGCATCTCGTCGCAGACCATGTGCGCCGCGCAGGGAAACTCCTCGCACGGAATCTTCTTCTTGCCTGTGTCGAAGATCCTGGGGGGTCGAGAAGCAGATTCGGCACCGATGCCCCCGTTGGCGTCTCTCAATCAGTGGGTGCCGGAATGAGGGGACCTCAACCTGTGGCGGCTGAGCGTTCGTTGGCGGCACCTCCTTGGAGCGCCCGAATGCCATGGTTGCTCTGTCGGGGTGCTCTTGGGACGCTGAAAAAAAAGGACGGGCCGGAGGTGCCTAAACCAGCGTCGGCCCTGAGAGCTCCCACGATCTGAGCGCGAAATGGCAAGCGTAACGTCCCATGACGGTTTCCTCTGAAAAAGGGGCACAACTAGAATGCCGACTACATCGCGGGAATCATGGGGCTCTGAACGAACAAGAATCGGGGGTGTCAGAACCAGCGAACCGCTAGAGGCATCGTGGTCATCGTGGGTGCGAAAGGCAAGTGCGGCAGAACTTGGCGGCACTTTCTCGGGGTGCCCACGTGTTCACTTGCTACATCGAGGCGACCATGAGACTTTCAAAAGAGTTATTGTCCAGAGGACCAGTAAATTGTGACAATATGATTGATCGATGGTCTTGTTCTACGATCGTCCCGTGATATCCTATCTCAGTGGATCGGATGTTCATGGACTCGACCACTATATGATTATAAGACCGTTACGCAGACACTCGCAAGTAAGTGTGATGGCGCGCGCGCGAGAGGGAGGCGCGAATTGTTTGCAGGCGCAAGTAACTGCAGCGCACGCAATAACCAGTGTTGATGGTCAGCTGCGGCGGCGGCGGTGGCGGCAGTGGGCGACGGCAGGGTCTGAGCTATATGCTATGTTAACTCCTCCCGCGGTTGGATGCGCAGGCCTAGCAACAGCGCCATTGGAATTTGCCAGACTTCGTGCAGTCCCCAGGCGCATTGGTCCTCCCGCTGCCAACCACAAAGACGTTTTTACGGCGATCGCATCTACTCCTGGCACAACCTCGATGCGGGCCGCAGCACGCTGACGTATCCTGTAAATCATATAGCGTAACAGCTCATCGCGATGTTGTTGGTGAGAATGTTGTCCTAATCTTCGAGAACATGTAACCACAAAGCAACATGCGGCTGAGCCATGCATCGCCTTGATTGTCAAAAACATGTCAAATTTAGGCAGCGCGCGGTGAAAGCTCACGTTCCTCATATATGATCGGCAGTTGGCAACGTCAGCTTCATCCAAGAGCCAATTTCCGAATTGCGTGCGGTAGCATGTGTCCTTCCCTGTCCCACTTCCCTTCGCGGGTGAACATGTAATCGCGGGTGCTCCACCACTGCCACTTGCGGAAGAAATGATGGTACACCCACCGTGGACCCACCGTCTATCTCCACCCCAGCAGTCTTCGTTGATATCCCACTGTCCAGTCTCACTGTTGTCATACTCCTTCTGGATATTACGACCTCTCTCATCATCGCCGACGCTGCCGCGGAACCCGCAGCAGATGGCGGTCCATCTACAGGGATCGCGACGTCACCGACATGAGTGTCCGCGCGCCTAGCCTTGGGTGTCTGCGAACCTCCAGTCCATCTGGGAGCAGGTCTATTCGGGGGCGACGGCAGGCGATCGGGCGGCGCCAGAGGAGGAGGAGCCAAATTAGGAAGCGTATCCCTCCATCGTGGCAAGCTGCCAGTTGAATAGATAGCCGCGCTATTGGCACCATCCACCTGCTCTGCACTAACCGATGCCGAAGCAGCGCCACTGACTGAGTCAGAAGCGGCACCAGGCATGGGCAATCCCATCGAACTGTCCTCGGCCGCTGGGGCAACGCTACCGGCTGACCCAGCAGAGGCCTCAGCGCCCGCAATACTTATTTCATCAGTAGGGCCGGCAACGCACTTGCCGTCTTCATCGACGTCCATGCGGCCCACATCATCGGCTGGGCCGACAATCGGCCCCCCCCCTCCTCTTTGCATGCACGGATGACGCCAAACGCGATCGCGGCAATTTGTTCGTCGCATTTACCCTGGGAGCCCGATGCCTCTAAGAACAAAAGCATCGCCTTCAACCTTACAATAAAGTCTACCATCGTGCGTCGCGCGCACGACCACCAAATTTAGGTTGGAACGCGCGCAGCATCGAATACGCGCCGTTTGAACGCGGGGACGGGCGCGAAAGAGCCCAGGAAAACGGGGAAGGGGGGACGCCGCAGCAAGGAACGCGCATCAAGCAAAAGGGGGATTGGGGGCAAAACGCATGCTGATCGCACGTCGAGGGGCGGCAAACCGGTGAGAGCCTCCTCCTCCCTCCTCTGTACCTCCCGTCGTTAAGGTCGCCCGTCTTATTTTGCCTGCCCAACGACGCCCTTGCGTTGCATCGCATCGAATTGATATTGCACTGCCATTTCCATTGCATTGCGCTGTTAGCTAATTGCGTTGAATTGCCACTACATTGTATTGCGCCCGTTGAGTTGTCTGTGCGCTGCTGCTTCCACGCGTTGTGCTCTGTCATTGCAGATGCACTTGTGCACCGAGTTGCGTTGCTATCAACATCGCACTGGCGTTTCTTGCAGTATCAACTTACTCCCGTAGCCTCTTTCTGGCTCAAGGCTGGCGTTTTCTTGCGTCTGCTTGCGTTCCCCACGCAAGCTGGCGATGAGCGGCGACGAGCAGGCTGAGAATCAAGTGCGGAAGACCTCCCAGGGGTCTGCTGACGACATTGCCGAGGCCATCGGGCACACGTGCTCCTCGCAGGATTAGCTGCCTGAGCGCAACACCTGGCGTTTCCAACCCGCCGCGAAGAAGTTCTGGCCGATGATGAAGTGCCTCTACGAGATGCAAGCCATCATGTCTTTCGACAAAAACACAATTATCCCAGAGCGACCCTACCTAGGAGTTGGAGCCCCGAGAAGAGCAATGTTAGTAGTAACGGTAAACGCCGTCCTCCTCCTTCTCCTCATCGTCGCAGTTGTAGCAGTAGCGGTAGCAGTAGTAGTAATAGTAGTAGTAGTAGTAGTAGTAGTAGTAGTAGTAGCAGTAGTAGTAGTAGTAGTAGTAGTAGTAGTAGTAGTAGTAGTAGTAGTAGTAGTAGTAGTAGTAGTAGTAGTAGTAGTAGTAGCAGTAGTAGTAGTAGTAGTAGTAGCACAGCTGAATACCTACATCTACATCTAGACCTACATCTACATTTACACCTACAGCTACATCTACAGCTATGTCTACATCTACATCTACAACAGGTTCAACACTGCTCGCGGCTCCTGCAAGAGCTGCAGGCTGTTCAGCACTGCTTGCGGGGGCTCGGGTCCGGCCATCGAGGCTAGCTCGGCAGCTGTCGCACACTGCTTTTGCTTTGCATGTCCTCTGCTTTGCGTTTGCTGTTGATTTGCTTTGCTGTGCGTTGCTTGTGCTTTGCTTTGCTGTTGCTGCTGTTGCGTTGCCTTTGCTTTGATGCTATGCTATGCTATGATATGCTGCGCTATGCTATGCTATGCTATGCCATGCTGTGCTGCGCTATGCTGCGCTATGCTATGCTATGCTAGGCTATGCTAGGGTATGCTAGGCTGCGCTATGTTATGGTAGACTATGCTATGCTATGTTGTGCTATGCTATGATATGTTATGCTATGCTGCGGTATGCTATGCTATGCTATACTATGCTGCGCTATGATATGGTATGCTAGGCTATGCTATGATATGATATGCTGCGCTATGCTATGTTAGGCCATGCTATGATATGCTATGCTGTTCTATGCTATGCTATTATATGATATGATATGCAGCGCTATGCTATGCTATGCTATGCTATGATGCGCTATGCTATGTTATGATATGATATGCTATGCTATGCTGCCTATGTTATGCTATGCTATGCTATGATGCGCTATGCTGCGCTATGCTATGCTACGCTAGGCTGCGCTATGTTATGCTAGGCTATGGTATGCTATGCTATGATGTGCTATGCTATGCTAAGCTGTGCTATGCTGCGCTATGTGATGCTATGCTATGCTATGGTACGGTATGCTATGCTATGCTGGGCTATGCTATGATATGCTAAGCTGAGCTAGGCTAAGCTAAGTTAAGCTAAGCTACAGCTACGCGAAGCTAAGATGAAGCTAAGCTAAGCTGAGCCAAGCTAAATTAAGCTAAGATGAGATACGCAAAGCTAAGGTAAGGGGGCGCAAGTGGGGAACCGCGGGGCGGGGACCGGGGGAACCGCCCGGGGCGGGGACCACTGCCCGGCCCCTTTGAGCAAAGAGAGTCAGAACCCTTCTAGGCAGAGCCTAGGTAGGGAATGAAGCTGGCGGTCGGGAAGATGATGGACAAGCGGCGCGCTTCCTGGACAGTGGGCATCGACGAGGAGCACGAGGAGGAGCTGGTCGACGAGCACGTCGAGCGCTTCCACAGGATGTGCATGGAGTTCGGCACTGATTGGGCGCCCGAGTTATCCGGGGTAACTCGGGTCCGGGGTAACTCGGGTTTGGATTCCCGAAAAAGGAACCCGAGTTAGCCCTGACCCGAGTTACCCCTGATGATTCTGGGGCTCTGGGCGCCCGAGTTATCCGGGGTAACTCGGATCCGGGGTAACTCGGGCTTGGATTCCCGAAAAAGGAACCCGAGTTATCCCTGACCCGAGTTACCCCTGATGATTCGGGGCTCTGAACTGAGCTCTCCAAGAAAGCGAAGAGCGCACGATCCTGCGAGCGGCACTTCTTCTGACGGCGCGGCGGCCTCGGCCTCGGCCTCGGCCACGGATGCAGATGGAGACGGCGGAGCGGACAGCGGAGTGGAAGTGGGAGCTCCAGAGGGCGGCGGCGACGGCGAGGGGGCACCGGCGGGCGGCGAGAGCCCGACAGGCTCTGGCTTGGAAGAGCTGGAGGGCGACCCGAACGTCCACGACGGTCTGGAGGAGGAGCGCGAAGCCATCCAGGAGGAGCAGGCGAGGAATGAGTCCCAGCTCCCTCGCGGCACGTCGCCTACGTCCGATGGTTTCTACGGCGACTGCCCTGAGATGAAGGAGGCGCGGAGGGCCCCCGCGAAAGCGCCCAGGAAGAAGACATACACCGAGCTGCTCGAGAAAGGCGAGGTGGACCCCGACTGAGTGCCCGCTCGCGCCGTGGGCCGAACGGATCGTCGGCATCAAGGGCATCACAGTGGCAGAGCCTCGCGAGATGAAAAAGGTCGAGGAGACGAAGGAGGAGAGCAGCAAAGGGACATGCTTTCACGGGCCGCGACGCCGACGACAGGGAGAGAGATGCGCCATGAAGGCGACGAAGGGCAAACAAATCGTGCACTCGACGTTCTGGGCGTGCGAGGCGAAGGAAGGCAAAGAGCAAGGTCCTGCAGATCAAAACCAACAAGCTCGAAGCCGTTGTTGGTAGAAATGCCGCGGATGCGAGAGGCTTCGAGATCGCGATCGAGACGGCGAACTGCAGCAAGAAGGGCGGGATCGCTGATACGAGAGATGCTCGTCAAGAGGCCCGCGATCGTGCGATCGAAGCAGTGGTCGGCCCCCCTGACCAGACAGCGCTGGGCTCGGAGACCCCCGTCAAGAAGATGCCATCGGCTGCGGGCAGCGACGGGAAGACAGAGAAGAGGCGCAAGCGGGGCACGACCACGGAGGGGGACGGTGCAGGGACTTCCAAGAAGGAGGGCAAGAACGACAAGGGCGAGAGCGACGACGGCGAGGACAAAGGTGAGAACGACACGGGCCGTGCCAGCGCGGGCGGCGGCGCCACCAGCTCTGGCGACTTGGCCAGGGGCGAATCGGGCACATTCAACTTCGACGGCTGGATCGAGGACGGCGCCGCGGACGTGTCCTGCATATAGTGTAGGTGATCAGAGAAGCCAGCCATGAACGGATGGTCTAGACGGGCACGTCAGCCCCGTCGAGCGCCACTCGGCGCGCACATACTCAGACCCCCGGGCTCGTGTCTCGCTGAGTCTGCCAACGTTCGGGCACAAGTAGCTCTTTGCAAACGATTCGGTGCAATACTGAGCAAATCCTCCGTGTCCTTCTCACGTTAGTGTGTGCGGCTCAGGTTTCGGGCCCATCCTCATCCTCCTCGCGTCGGCGCTCGGACCCCAACACCATGCTACTTCCACTGGGATTGGAAACACCATCACTGGGCTCGGGCCGAGAAGGGGGATCGAGGGGGGGCAAGGCGAGCCGAGGGGGACCGATGGGGGCCGATGGGGACCGAATGGGATCGAGGAGGATCGAGGGGGTCGATGGGGGGGGGTCGATGGGGAGGTCGATGGGGACCGAGGGGGGGCGATAGGGGGACCTCTCATACTCCTCCTGGTCCGTCCTCCTGGTCTTCCTGCTTCTCACCCCTCTTCTCGACCTCCTCCACAGGTCCGTTGCCCGCTTCGGTTGGACAAAGATCTGGCCCTGGAAGGTGCCCCTGGGGATGACCACCGATTTGCGGGCCGATTTGTTGACCTAGTTGTTTGAATTAGTTGCGACGTTTTGACTTCGTCTGGTTTGGCCGCAAGCGGCCCTACGGCCGAAAAAACTGCATTGTTTGAGGAGCGTTGAACGGTATGCGGGTCTGGTTTCTTGTGAGGTTTGAGTCGTGGCGCTGTCCCCCGAGCAAAGGTTTGAGTTGTGCCGCTGCCCCCCGAGCGTGGAGAGCTCCCTCCAATGCCTGCTGAAGTGCGGATGCGGAGTGCAGCTGCCTTCCGAATGCCTCTCCGGTGCTAAAGCTGTGCTGCGGTTGTGCGGTAATCGGGTTCGGCGTCCAAGAGTCGTTCTGTTCTGCTGCACGTTCCTCCTCTCTTTCCGTTGCCATTTTGGCTCGAACCCTTTCTGGCATTCGGACCGCCTCAACGGACCTCATTGCGACCTCGGCCGCTACGCATTCTATGTCAGACATGTCGAGCTCCGTTGCAGACGCTGCCGCGGCACAGCCGAGGTCCGCCGATCACTTGGCGCCTTTCGACGGTGACGAGGGTCACGTTGCCGACGGCACGGGGGCCGCCGACGCTGTCAACGCAGCACTGGGCGCCTTGAATCAGACGGACGCCGACCCCGCCAATCCTCAGAACTTCGCCAAGCAAGGCGAGCTCGCCGTCGGCTTCGCGATCGCTTCGATGCCACCTCCGCCCGCAGGCGACGGGGAGCCCGATGCTGCGCCGAGATCCATGGACGAGACATCCCTCGCCGAGGCGAACGCAAGGGGATGCTTCGGTCTGCGCTCTTCCAGGGTCGGGCGGCTGTGGGCGGCCGACGAGAACCTGAACGAGCAGCTGCAGAAGGACTACGCCGCGCTCGGGAAGCAGTATGCAGAGCAGAGCGCGTTCAGGATGAAGTGGACCAAGCAGAAGATGGAGGCCCCGAAGATCGAGCGCTGCATATCGCGCGAGCACACCTTCGACGCTGTCATCAAGGGCGAGTGCGTGAGCTTCTACAAGACATGAGAGGCGGAGGGCCTCGATGCAGCTGGCTTGGAGGCGGCCAAGAACTGCTGGGCATCCGCGGTCGACTTCTGCAGCAGCGGCGCCCTCTTCCACGGCAGGCCCCATCTCGAATACAACGGGAGGACGAAGCGTGAAGACGTGCTGTACATGAAGAAGCACGTCGATTTCAACGATCGCCGGACTTGGGGCGAGCGTGCCTCCGAAAGGGCGCAACGTGGCTCTGGCTCCCGGGGGTGCCAGCCTGCCGGGCGCGCGCTGGGCCAGCCTGGCCCTCAGGCGACGGCGACTGGCGGCGGCGGAAGGCCCAGCACCGCTGTCGCAGCGGGGGCCGCGGTGCCGCCTGCCGCCGACTCCGAGACGTCGGCCGACGTCGGCAAGAAAGACAGGAGCAGGGGCACTCCGAGGCAGCATGAACGCGATAAACCTGAAGAGGAGTCTGAGAGGAAGAAGAACCTCAAGCTCCAGGCCAGCAAGGCAGAGAAGCTTCGCACATTGCTCAGCAGCGCGGCCACTTCCTCCGACGACCTCATCAAGACGTCGAACGACGAAGCCTGGGATTGGGCGAACAACGATCATTCCCTTCGCTCTCTGAGGGAAGACCCGCAAGGACATCAATGCTTTCAAGGAGTCGTCGCAGTTCTGAAGGACTGGACGATGGCTCAGAACTTCGCAGCGACGGATCTCAAGAAGCACTCCGACATCGAGGCCCTCGAGGAGATCGGCCGCATCCACGAGTTCGACAAGAAGGACCAGAGGCTGCAGAGGGAGGTCGCGACACTGAAGCGCATGCATGCGGCTCGCCACCCGTAGGCCGCCGCGCCCTAGCAGGGCAGCAGGGCGTTCGTAAGATACTATGCACGCAGTGGCCAAGAATGTTGAATTGCTGGTGAGATTTCTTGTTGCACGCCCAGGCGTTCAATGGATGTGTGAATTTTGGCGTGCGAGAGCCCCGAGCCACGCAGGTGAAACTCGAGTGAAACTCAATGAAACTCGACCAAGTGAAACTCACGTGAAATTCCCAGAGCGCATGGATGTATCAAGCGAAGTATTGGTTCTTATGAGTTCCACTTGGAGCTTCACGCGGGTAAAACTCCAGTGAAACTCAATGAAACTCTGTGAAACTGAACGGGGGCCCTGGGACGCAGCCAAAACTTGATGTTCTGGTTTGGTGTCTGTGATCGTGCGTGGAAGATGCGTGCGCTTGCAAAATCTCACGGGGCACGTGGGGAAACGATCGCACGCATAGCTGCGAGTGGCCGTGGTAGCACGCACGCCCATGCTGCGGTCCACCCGAACCGAAGGGGCGCGAAAGATATGTGTTGGTCCGCCTGTGGGGAACTCGATCGCTTAGCTGGCGCTCGGACAAGCTTCTCGCCCTCCTTCTCCTCCTCCTCCTCCTCCTCCTCCTCCTCCTCCTCCTCCTCCTCCTCCTCCTCCTCCTCCTTTCCCAAGACATAATCGAGGCTCCAATCGGGAGCTTCTCATGGGCGGGCAGCCCGCAACCGCGGCAACCCTTTCTATTGTGTTGGTTGTTTGTCGCCCATCGCCACGGCTGCGCGCGGCTCGATCGACGCGCCAGGGCGGGCGCGCCCGCAGCCTGGTCCACTGTCCAAAGGGGGGAGGCTGGGCGGGGGAGACGGAGGGTGGTGCATGGTCGGAGAAGGGGCCCCCTTTGGGCGCGAATGCAGTGATTTCAATTGGAGGGCGTCGCTTTTGAGACCCCCGTCGTTCGAGCAAAGTCGAGGGTCTCAAACACGAGGCCCTTTGCACTTGCAAAAAGGGAATTCTGCACGTCGTGAGACACCTCTGAGGTAGCCTGACAAAATAAAGAGGGTCGACGACCCCCATTGGCCCCCCAAAAGGTGTTCCCATATCCAACATGTGCCGGCCGCGACGTCAGCCGTGGCCGTCAGCCGGACAACGTAACGGAGAGGAATGCGAGGATGAGGGGGCAAGAAAAAAGGAGGCGGAGGCGTTACACTAATAACAACAATCCCATGTTAGGATGTGGGCAACACATTAACACCAATACCGCTACTCCCTGTACCTCTCCGTGGGCGCGATCTGACCAGGATGCCGGGGCGAATCCAGCCGCGGCAACGGGCCTCCCAGGAGGCCCAGAAAGGCGAAAACGAGAAAAGGGTATCGGTATCGCTATGGCTTGCCGACACGTCGAAATCCGCCCCAAATCGGGCCCTGGATGGTTCCCGGGGTCCATCCTGGCAAGTTTCTCGAACTGCGTCCGGCAGTGGCGATGGAAACCTCCAGAAACACCCAACAGCATCTGAAAAGACGCCGCCTCCGTCCCCGGCATCGGTGTTTTGTTCTCCTCTGAAGTCCTCATTTTGGGGTCTGGCACGCCGCGCACAAAGCGCGACTTGGGCCACGGCTTGCCCTTGCAGTAACGGTAGCAGCGTGCCGGACGGCGCCCCATGGCCTCGGATGCGTTCGTGCGGGAGTTTCTCGGCGGCTGGCGGCGGATGAAACCCTGAAGCCACAACGGCTGCAGAGAAAGAGAAGCAAGACGAAAGAAGGGGGAGGATGACAGGGCGGAAAGGGGAAAAGAAGCGAAAGGAGGGAGGGGCGGTGGGGGAGGGCGGGGGAGGGGGAGACGAGACGAGGGAGGGGGACGAGGGGAAAGAAAAGACGAGGGAGGGTAAACACGAGAAAATGGAGAGGGGAGGAGGGAGGGTGGGGAGGGGACGAAGGAGGGAGGGGCGGGGTGGAAGGGAGAGGAGGGGGCTGTATCTTTACACCTCTCCGCTATCCACATCCATCGAACTGCCTCGACTGTCCTCCTCCCACTTCCTCAGTTATCCCTGCTCCCTCCTTCCTCCACCTCCTCCCTCCTCCTATTATCTTGTCATCCCTTGCACTCCTCCTCCTCCTCCTCCTCCTCCTCCTCCTCCTCCTCCTCCTCCTCCTGCTCCTCCTCCTCCTGCTCCTCCTCCTCCTCCTCCTCCTCCTCCTCCTCCTCCTCCTCCTCCTCCTCCTCACATTAAAGCCATCATCCGTATCACTTCTGCTATCCGTATGGCTACGATTACTGCTACCACTATTCCTCGAACAGTGCTTGCACTAGGGGTGTTTACTCTAGTTACCTGATGAGTTGGTGGATTTGCCGAGGCTTCGCCCGGTGGGCCGCCGTGGGCGCCGCGTGGCGAGGCACACCGCCGCCTGTGGCGGCTGCTCTCGAGGCAGTCTGGCGGGCCCCCAGCACTGCGCGGTGGCTGGCGAACTTGTTGCTGCCCTGGACCCCACGTGGGGCCTGCCGCCAGGGAAACCCCCTCGGGCCGAGCCCTCAGTCTTGGGCTCCACCAGTGGCACGCCCCGGACCGCGCGGTATTCCCCCCCCACGACGACGAGCCTACTTGCGAGGCTGGGGAAAAGGAGAAAGAGGCCGGCCCCGCCAATCTGGCCGACCTCGCCCTCCAAGAGGTCCCACTGGTCGAAGAGCAAGCCCAGGTGAACCGACGGCGAATGGACATCATCCGGAATCTACATCGACGGGGGCTGTATCTGACAAGCGTCAGAGCAAACTGATGCTCGAAGCGTTCGACCGGCTCGAGAGCTGAAGGCCGCGCGGGATTACAGCCTGCCGGACCTTACCGCCGTCCTCGATCCCGATGTTACGACTGATGGTGGCCACAAAGACCCACCGACGCCCCCCTGAGGCACCGCTGCCGCTACCGTGGCAGCCACAACCCAGCCTCCTGCTGCAGCCAACGCGGCGGCTGTATATCACCCTCCTGTCGCTGCCGCCACCATGGCAGCCGCCCCTCCTCCCGACGCTGCGTGGGCGGCCGGCCCGTGGCACGGGCCGCAGTCCGTGCCCGAGGCGCGTCGCAGCCCTGAAGAGTAAGCCCACCTCCCCAGCTCGCCTCCCCCCCTCCCACAACGCAGCCGACCCCGAGCCCAAATATGCACGAGCCGAGCCCAAGCATCTACAATCCGACGCCCCCCCCCCCCCCCTCGCACCAGCCGCCGCGACACTCACGCCCACTGTTTCCAAACCCGAGGCACAGCGAGGATGGCAGGCCGTGGGAGGCCCGGGAAGCGGCACGCTGCCCGCTGCCCGCTGCCGCAGCCGCGCCAGGAGCGGGTACCGGGCGGAGCAGGAGGAGGGGGGGGGAACGGAGGGGGGCACGCCGCGCGCAGACCTCTCGTCAACCAAGCGCAAGGGGCGGCCACTGCCTCGGACGCCCCCCTCCCAAGGGGGGGAACCCTTCGTCCTGGGGGTGGTGCCTCCGCGGTCAGGATTGCACCCCTCTTCCCCCTACTTGCTCCCCCACTCAGGAGGTTTCCTCGCTCCGCCCTCCTGCCCTCCTGCCCTCCTCTCCTCCCGCCTGCTGCCTCCTGCCTCTGGGCATCCCCCTTCCATCACACCTGAACCTTCGCCGCCTCGCCTTGCAGACACCGCGCGAGGTGGATAGGGTTGCGCCTCGTGGAGGCACCAGGGCCCTCAACGAAGCACCGAGAAGCAGGGAGGAGGAAGGGGGCAGGAGAGCCCAAACGCGGCGGCGGCGGGCGGGGCGCGCGCGCCTCTGCCACCGCGGCTCCCGGGCGCGCAGCTTCCCCCAGTCCTGAAGGGGAAAGGGGGCCGCCGGCGGGCGCCGCCCGATGCGCGCGCCGGCCAGAAGCCCGCGGCGTGGCCCGCCGTCGAATCGTCGGGCTGTTCGAGCTGTGCCTCCTCCTACTCCTACTCCTGCTCGTCCTCCTCCTTCTCCTCGATCATCGATATTCCTCATTCTCGATCCTCCTCCTCCTCCTCCTCCTCCTCCTCCTCCTCCTCCTCCTCCTCCTCCTCCTCCTCCTCCTCCTTCTCCTCCTCCTCCTCCTGGCTCAAGTCCTGAGCACACCGCTGGGGGTGCAGGACTCAGACCTGCCTCAGGGAAGGCACTGGGAGAGGGTTCGAGCAGGCCCCCCGCGGCCTTTTCGGCACCACGTCTCCGCTGTCTCAGCCCCAGGTATTGCGCGCGTCTTCCTGCCGCGGGGTTCACGAGACACGATGGCCAAGAAGTACGTCATGTGTCCACGTCGCGGCTGCAGGGGCTGGGCGTGGTGTCCTTCTGATGCTAAGCATTGCATACAATGCGGTGGCCGCATCAAGCAGCAGCAGCAGCAGCAGCAGCAGCAGCAGCAGCAGCAGCAGCAGCAGTAGTCTCAGAGCGGCCCCCGCGGGCCCGCCAGCGGCCTCAGCGGCGCAGGCGAGGCGGGCACAGGCCCCCCCACCCCCCCCCGCCAGAGCGGCTTGACAGGCCAGGCCGCTGGCGAGGGCGAGATCGCTCACGGGGGCCAACCTATCCGCCAGGACTACGTCGCGTCACCGTCGCTGAAGGCAACGAGCATCAGCCCCATGATGAAGATCCATGAGCACTGGCACAAGCCCAAGTCAGTTTCTGGAAGAAGTGGAAGCCCAACGGTGAGGAGCACACCGCAGCGCTGGGCAATCTCAAGCAGGCCAGGGCATCGGTCTCGGCATCAAAGTCGCTCGAGCAGCATGCCCAGTCACTATCGGGCCAGCTCGAGACCCAACGTCAGAAGTACGAATCTCGGTCAGCAGAGCTCAGGCAGCTCGTAGATATCATCCCAGATGCCAGCGAGAAGCGCCGCAAGCTCGTCGGGGAGATGCAGAACGCGCAGCTGGAGATCCAGACCCTCGAGAGCCAGTGCAACGTGGCCAAGCCGCCATGCAGGCGGCTGCCAAGGCCGGCGCCCCCCGGTCCACCCTGCAAGGAGCCCTTTGCAGCGCGGATGCCTCCAGGCAGGGCCGCGCCGCCCCGCCTCGTGCTCGAAGGCGGCGGAGCTCGCGGCTGTCGTCGACGACCTCGCGGCCCAGCGTGCCCAAGCACAAGCTACTGGAGGCGTTGACACGGGCGGTTTTGAAGGGGAACTGGGACACACAAATAAATACACACAAATAAAAATATCCCCCATATTTTCCCATATTTTCTGGGTTTTTGTCTTCCCCCCCACTTCCCATATTTTCGCATATTTTCCTGGGGATCAACGATTCATTGTGTCTGTGTGTTTCTTCCCCTCCTGAGGTTTACCAGGCATCGGCGAACCTCCCGACGGGCCACCCCCAACAGCCGCTGCCGGCAGCGGCGCAGCCGCGGCGGCCTCGAGCACGCCACGGGGGCGGCGCAGGCGCAGCAGCGCCCGCCGCCGCGGGCGAGGGGGAGCACCTGCCCACATGACGAGGAGCTCGACAGCGACAATGGCATGGACGAGCCCAGCTCCCCGGCGCGCGCGCGGCGGCCGCCCTGACGGCAGTCGCGGAGGGCGCGGCCGCAATCCAGGGCAAGAACGGGCCCGACGACGAACGGGCCAGGGCCGCAGCGGCGGCAGCTGCAGCAGTCGAGGCGGGGGCCACATCGTCGCCGTCATCTTCCTAACAATGAATACACCATCGCCACGATCAATGGATCGTGCCGGGGTGCAGTGTGAGCTTTCATTGAGTCAGACACTGCTGGGTGTTTCAAGTCATCTGCGCTCGGGAGTGCATATTAGAAGCAGGTGGCCACAATACTGGTCAGATACAATGGTGCTTCGCACGAGGTTGGTTTGCCCACGTTTCTCCCGCCCGCCGTCAGAAACCCCTCCGGTGAGTTAGTCTCAGGGGTGGCGGTGCTCGTTCGGGGTGGCTTGGACATGGGGGCCCAGCCGCCCAGGATGCCTCCAGGGACGGACAGCTCCAGACTAGCTGGCGTTGTCATCGAAGCGCCAGGGGTCCCCTTACTTCCGAGCCTCCTCGGGTCTCTGCGAGACCAATTGACATGATTTAGCCGCCATTGGCAAAATACAAGACCTAGTTGCTAAGCCGTTCAAGGTTGCGGGAGATTTCAGTCTTCAACCAGAGCGACTCCACAAAGGCACGAATTTCCTCACCCGTGCTACCATGAAGGTTGCGGCGCCCACTGCCGCCACGCATGGGACCAAAACGACATAGTCGACCCTCGACTCCTTCCTCCACAGCCAAGTTTTAGGGCCCTGGTTGGACTCCCCCCGCACTTAGGTGTCCGATCTCTCTCTCCCCACCGCCCCGTTACCATGTTCCTGAGTGCGCAGGGTGATTTCACGATCCCGACGCTCCTCAGGCCGCAGGAGCTCCCCACGAGGGTGCCCACAGGTCCTCAACTCCCGTCGGCCAGTTGGCATCAGACAGCTGCCGCGGTGGACAACGCTGTCCAACTTCTCGGTGATGCTTCGCAGCCCCTCGCCGCGCCCCACCATCCTGGACCACGTGCGCTTCGCCCTCGTCCAGGACCTCGAGCACGCACAGCGTGAAAACGGACACCCCCTCAGACCCAGCAAGACCCCCAGAGTCCACCCCCAGACCCACTGGGCCTCGGCTAAGGCCAAGTGCCCCCAGGGGCGGAAGTGCTGGACGGCCTACTCTAGGCCGCGCAGGTGGCTCCAACATCGGATGCACGATTCCCGACGCAGCACCCAGGGCGGGGACTGCCAGGAGTTTCGGGATACCCCCGGCAGCCTCGAGGA